ACCGGACCTCCTCCGTCCCCAACACCGGACGAGGGGGAAAGGACCGGCCGCACGGCTTGGCGGAGGTCGCGAGCCCCCTTTTGGCCGCCCCTAACCCTAACCCAAACAGTAAGGCCCCCCAGGTCGCCATCAACGGCTTCATCGCCTGGCTGCTTTTTATTGTCTTCACGGCCGTGTACGTGGTCTGGGCGGTCGTCCCGGACGAGACTCTGCACCGGATGCACATCACCTATTACCCGGATAAGTACTGGGCCGTCGCAGTCCCGGCGATGCTTGTGATTTTCTTCCTCTACTACTTCACCACGCACGTTTTTCTGGTGCTGTTGATGACCTACCCGCTTGAGGACGGGCACACCATCACCGACGTCGACGCGAAGACTGATACGCAGGTGAACGTGGCCGTGCTCGCGGAGCGAACGGAGAGCGTGCCGCGATGGGTGGATATTCCTGTCGCCGTGTCCAGCCGTCTGCTGTTTAAACCCTGGAATGGAAAGTAAAAGAATAAGAGCAGAAAAGAGCCGCGTGAAAATAAGGATTACTAGTGTCCATATAAATAACTTGTTGTGTTAGAAGTGGTTTGGCGGATGCAGGATGTTATAGAAGAACCACTGAGTTCTTTACCTCCTCTGTATGGATACTAAAAAAAAATGCTATTAATGAGGATTACTTATAGGTATGTGTGTGTATGGGGGGTAATTCGTTCGACTGCATATTAATATATTTTCTTACCTTTTACTCTGTCAGCAAATTTATATTTAAAAAAAGAAAGTATCTGACAATGATCACGAGAACGCTAGCGCGATTAACTATATCCAAACTACCTCTTCTGCTTGGTGCGGTGCGTAGGGGAAGGATAAGTTTTAATAGCGATGATATCTACCGCCTGTGCGTTTTGCTTCAGGACGCCGATGATGTGCTTTCCTTAAAGAAGGATAAAGAATTTATGACACTCATTGCCCATCAGTTTCATTCAAAGTATGGCTCTGAGAGTGAGGCCAACGAGGGAAACGAAAATGGAAAAATCGTTGCCTTAGGTGCCTTTCAGAAATCACTTATTGATCAAGTTCTTATGCCTTACATAAGTTTAGCGTCTAGTTCTGAGGACCTTGTTGTCAAGGGCGAGGTAGAGTCTGCTGTGATGAAATTAGGTAGTAAAGTGCTGAAAGAACCATCGGCAGTAGAGCGCCTTAACGCGATTTTGGAGATCGTTTCGGAGGTTTTCGTGGTATCATCATCTTCCGATAAAAATTCATCATCATCTTCGCAGAACCATAGAGTGGCAATTGGGATGGATCAGATGCAGACGATTGAGAAGCACATGGGTGCGCTGGAGTCTCAGCTGCGCAGTCTCACGCCGATCAATGTTTGCAATCTAGTAAAAGCTCTTGCCCGCGTAAATTATCAATCTCATAAGCATACTTCTTTGCTCTCTAGACGGAGCTGCGAGGTTGCCACTCAAATACCGTCTAGCAAGATTTGCAAACTCTTCTTCAATCTCCACAAGCTCAATGCCAACGACTCTTTACATGCCCTGGTGAATCAAATCATCTTGTGTATGGAAAATTTTTCCGCCGATGATGTTTACCTTATTGCACATTCATTAGAAAGGCAACTTAATACCACTCCTTCTGCCGCGCGAATGCTCTCGTTGCTTGCTAAGCAAGCTATTAAGAAGATGCACAAAGCAACTTCCAGCACCTATCATCGCTCGCTTCTGAATGCCTTATCCCGCTATGGCTTTCGTGATATTGTTGCCGTTTCAACGCTTTTTCAGGATCTCATGCGTTTCAAAGACAACATCTCCGAGCGCGACTTGCCTGTAATTCTGCAGGCGGCGGTGAATTTACGGATTCCGTCATCTTCTAAATGTTATCCAATGCTGCTTTCCCGCGCGGAAATGCTAGTGGAGAAGAGTTTAGAGCTTCATTTAATCGATTCCCTCATGGATACGATTTCCTTGCTGCCACTGGATAGCACGGCGTTGATGGCAAGCGTGATGGCAAGGTTAGATCACGATGCGGGGAAGCTTTCTAACCCCCAGCTTGTGCAGATTATCAGCCTGCTATCCACGTATCCGCCCGCAAAAGACCATATTTGTATCGTTTCGCTTAGCTTCACTGCGTCCGTGCGCAAGGACTCTTTCGATGCGAGTGGTATGGAGAGCATTATTGTGTCTCTTTCCTGTTTGACGCACTTCACGGAGGACTTTTTCAATATATTTGAAATGCTTCAATTATCCAAGGGGGGGTTTCGTCAGTTATCTAGCCTCCTGACGGTGTTGGAGAGCTTCACTAAGGAGATCGTGTGGAGCGAGAAACGTGTGCAGGAGCTGATATCTCAAGCGGTCATGACTTTTGTACCCGAAATGAATGAGGAAGAGGTGCGCCACTGCAAAAAAATACTCATGAAGCTAGGGTTTGATCCGCCGACTTTGGAAAAGTGGTGGTCGTCTGCGAGTAAATTTTCGGGTTCAGTTCAAAGATTGGGATGGGGCTCGTCTTTTAATCGTTCCTCCCGTGGGAAACCCCAAGGTAGGCATTTCCAAGGAAAGCCATACAATCCGATGGACGATTTTATCGAGTAATTCAACTAAAATGGTATTGCGTGTTTTTTCATTTTGTTTAAATATCTATTTTGTTTATCATTGTGTTTCGAGGTGTGGATTCCGGAAAGGTAGTTTAGCCATTCTAGGTGGCGGAACCGCATAGGATAATATCGCGCAATCTTTTTTTTTGCGGGGGGCCGTGTCTCTCGTCGACCCCCCAAAATAATCCACCCGAGTGCTTCTCGGTTAACCAACTTGCTGTCCTTGTTACTCTCTCTTTTGTGATCGGTGTGACTCCTATAGATTCCCCCCTTCTTCCCCCCCAGTCTTGTGATGCAACCCGTTCGACGTGTGCTCGCCACGGCGATGGTGTCGTTGGGTTACAGCCCCCTCCTCGCCTCAGGCATTCCCAGTTCGCTGGCCCCCC